TCTGCACAACGTTGTGCAGCAGGGACCGTCCCAGCTGGGCCCCGGTGAGATGGGAAGCCTGTGGTGGAGCCCAGAACTGAATCCAGGTCCCTCAGCCACTGGATTACAGCTCCAGTCCACCACAGGGATCACATCCCAGCCCACCTCCCATTGTTGGCCAGAGCATGGATTGACCACCAGAGAACACCCACACGACCACGTGGGAACTCATCGACCCGCTGGAGTTGTCTTGGCTGGACATCCCACTCTGCCAACAATTCCATCCACCCAGCCAACCCTGGGATATTCCTTTGGGGATTTCTGAACAGCTCCATTGGATCCACTTGGTTACAAAAGTCAGGAGGCCTCAGAGAGCACCAACTCACCGACTGCACTGGAAGGGGGTGTGCTGAGCTGGAAAAGGGGTTTCACTCCTCAAGGACAGGCTGGATGGGGCTTGGAGCAACCTGGGCTACTGGAAGGTGTGGCAGGGAGTGGAATGAGATGGGATTTAAGGTCCCTCCCAACCCAACCCACTCCGCGGTTCTGATTTTGGATCAACTGAAGGAACTCAAGGTTCCAACTGAAAACAATTAAATAAACATCAAGAGCCACGTAAGATCTTCACACCTGACAAAGCTGAAATGAAAACATCAGTGATTCCTCTGGCAGCTCCTCACGTGCTCCAAACGGTGGAAAATAAGAAGGGAGCAGATGGGATGGATCAGTCACAGTGCCTGGATTAAAGTCAAATCCCAAGCAGAAACGCCAGTGGCACCTCAGCTGTTCCATCCTGGCTCCCAGGGCAGCATTAGGGCCGGGAAGAAGATCCCAGGGCTGGAGCCCCTCTGCTCTGGAGCCAGGCTGGGGGGGTTCACCTGGAAAACAGAAGGCTCCAGGGAGACCCCCTTGCAGGAAGGAGGCCCCCTTGCAGGGCCTAAAGGGGTTCCAGGAGAGCTGGAGAGAGACTGGGGACAAGGGATGGAGGGACAGGACAAGGGGGAATGGCTTTCACTGCCAGAGGGCAGGGTTAGATGGGATATTGGGAAGGAATTCCTGGCTGGGAGGGTGACGAGGCCCTGGGATAGAATTCCCAGAGAAGCTGTGGCTGCCCCTGGATCCCTGGAAGTGTCCAAGGCCAGGTTGGACGGGGCTTGGAGCAACCTGGGCTGGTGGAAGGTGTCCCTGCCCATGGCAGGGGGTGGAATGAGATGATCCTTAAGGGCCTTTCCAGCCCAAACCCTGGTGTGGTTCTGTCCCACCTTGGGAAGGGTCTGCAGGAGGCACCTCCCCTGAGCCCATCCCAGCCCAGCTCTGCCTCAGGCTGGAAAACAAGGAATGGGGACTGGAGAGCAAGGAAGGGTCTGGAGAGTAAGAGAGGGGGTGGAGAACAGGAAAGGGGGGTGAAGAGCAAGGAAGAGGGATGGAGAGCAAGGTGGGGGGATGGAGAGCAAGGAGGGGAGATAGAGACGAAGGAAGAGGGATGAAGAGGAAGGAAGGGGGATGGAGAGTAAGGAACGGAGATGGAGAGCAAGGAAGAGGGATGGAGAGCGAGGAAGAGGGATGGAGAGCAAGGAGGGGGATGGAGAGCGAGGAAGAGGAGAAGGAGAACAAGGAAGAGGCTGGAGAGAAAGGAGAAGGAGCTGGAGAACAAGGAAACCAGGAAGGGAGGCTGAAGAGTAAGGAAGAGGGCTGGAGAGCAAGGGGGGTATGGAAAGCAAGGAAGAGGGGAAGAAGATCAAGCAAGGGGGGGTGGAGAACAAGGAAGGGGCTGGAGAGCAAGGAGAGAGGGTTGAAAAACAAGGAAGAGGGATGGAGAGCAAGGCCTGGAGGGCAAGGAAGGGGGTCTGGTGAACACGGAGGGGGGGCTGGAGAGCGAGGAAACAAGGAAGGGAGGAGGGAGAAGAACAAGGAAGGGGGTTGAAGAACAAGGGGGGAGGGATGGAGAGCAAGGAGGGGGGTGGAGAAGGGTCAGAGGAAGGTCGGCTGGGCAGGAGGAGAGGGAGGGCAGGCAAGGGCCAGGTAGGAGGGCAGGCAGGGTGGGCAGGAGGACAGGCAGGGTGGGCAGGAGGACAGGCAGGAGAACAGGCAGGGCTAGGAAGGAGGACAGGCAGGAC